AAAAAAAAAAAGAAAAAGATAAAAAAAGATACTACATAGAATTAACCAAGTTAAACCGCACAATTCAATAGCAGTTAGTACATTCACAGTATTGTGCAACCACCATCTCTATCTAGTGCCAAAACATTGTTATCACTCCTAAGGGGACCCATACCCAGAAAGCAGTCGCAGCCATTCCTCCTCTCCCCAGCCCCTGGCAACCAGTAATGTACTTTCTGTCTCTGAAGTTGCCTTTTCTGGACATTTCATGTAAGTAGAGTCATGTACATGTCTGGCTCCTCTCACTCAGCGTTATGTTTTTGAAGCTCTTTCACATCATAGCATGGAGCAGTGCTTCCGACCTTTTCTTTTTTTTTGAGACAGAGTTTCACTCTTGTTACCCAGGCTGGAGTGCAATGGCGTGATCTCGGCTCACCGCAACCTCTGCTTCCTGGGTTCAGGCAATTCTCCTGCCTCAGCCTCCTGAGTAGCTGGGATTACAGGCGCCTGCCACCACGCACGGCTAATTTTTGTATTTTTAGTAGCTATGTGGTTTCGTCATCTTTGCCAGATAGGCCTCGAATTCCTGACCTCGTGATTCACCCACCTCAACCTTCCAAAGTGCTGGGATTATAGGTGTGAGCCACCCCGCCCATTACAACCTCTGCCTCCCGGGTTCAAGCGATTCCCATGCCTCAACCTCCTAAGTATCTGGGATTAGAGGCACCCACCACCATGCCCGGATAATTTTTGTATTTTTAGTAGGGACAGGGTTTCACCGTGTTGGCCAGGCTGGTCTTAAACTCCTGGCCTCAAGGGATCCACCTGTCCTGGCCTCCCAAAGTGCTAGGATTACAGGTGTGAGCATGGCACCTGGCCTCCTTTATTTTTATGTCTCAATAATGTTCTATCATATGGCTGAAACACGTTTTTTCATCTGTGGGTGGACATTTGGGTTGCTTGCACCTTTTGGCTATTGTGAATAATGATGCTATGAACATGTGTGTATATACAGTATTAAAATAGTTTATTTTATTTTATTGTATTATTTTTTGGAGACAGAGTCTCTCTCTGTCACCCAGGCTGGAGTGCAGTGGTGCATATCGGTTGGCTGCAACCTCCGCCTCCTGGATTCAAGTGATTCTCCTGCCTCAGGCTCTGGAGTAGCTGGGACTGCAGGCGCCCGCCATCATACTCAGCTAATTTTTGTATTTTTAGTAGAGACGGGGTTTCTCCATGTTGGTCAGGCTGGTCTCAAACCTCAAGTGATCTGCCTGCCTCAGCCTCCCAAAGTGCTGGGA